ATCAAGCTCCTCCCTCTCAATTGATTGCTGTACGACTTCCGGTTCGTTACTCAGGTTGACCACTCGCTGGGACATAGATTTGACCATTGAGCCGGCGCGCTGGAGAGCCCCGGTGGACCCCGATGGAGACAAAGAGCGCGATCGATCCCGGGCACTGCTGCCACGACGGCTTCCCATCCCATCCTCCAGGTGCGGAAGATCATCGCCCAGTCTTGAACCACCAAAATTCACAGAGTTACCGGCGGTGTCAGTACTGTATCGCTCTTCCGCCCTGGCAGCACCGCTCATTGGTTGTAAATATCGAGGATCGGTCAACCGTACCCTATCATCTTCGTCTTCTGGGGGGTTGTATCCGTGCGGGTCGTGGGGATCGTAAGGATCTAGAGGTATAACGTCAAGGTCGGAAGCAGCATCATCAAAGCCACGGCTTGGTGATGGGTCCGAGGGCGATGCCCTTGATTGTGGCCCATTGAAACTGAGGCCAACCGATGATATCGCTTGCGCGAAGCCACCTAGGTCATCAACCGGCGAAGAAATCTCTGTATAGCTCGTTTGTGTTGGTTGGAATGGGTTCCTGCTCGGTCCAGCCGAATCAATAGGAGACTCTTTCGCAACACTCTCATAATTTCTCCGCGACCCCCTCCCGATCAATGATTGTCGCGAGAAGAGACCGGTCCCCGCACGGCTTCTCCCGCGCTCGTCAAGAGCATCTCCCGATTTCGAGAGATCTTGGAGAGGAATCTGGTTTGGCGGAGCGTTTTCGTCATTATCAAAGTTCTGGCTATCTGGCGCCATCGTCGGGCAGGATCAGATATTATGGAATCGCAGACATCGCAGGGCGAACGGGGTTCTCGGAGGTGACGACACGTGTGTTAACGGGAGAAACTATGTATAGAAAAGAAACGAGTGTGATTTATAAAACACAAATGCGAAGAGACAGATTGAAGCTGAATTTGGGCTTAGTCCGGGTCGCAACTGCACTAAAAAGGACAAGTCCCGGCATGCGCCTCGCCATACATTTCAACGTTCGTGGCTGACATACCTCGGGCGATCCCTTCGGGGCTATACCTGTATTATACGCATATTACATTGTACACAATTATTTACTTCTGTGCCTTGCTTAATATTTGATATTTCAACTGAAATAAAATTACAAGTTTTTAAGACGCTGACGAAGCCCTCAAAACAGTGTTGCCTGGTGGGGTTCCAGTCCATTTTTTCCAAAAATAGTTCGAGGGGAAAAAAGTCTTGGAAGTCTTGGAAGTCCTCAAAATCTCGAAATAAATATTATTCAATCGGTATCCATCTGAGAATCCTTTTCTTTAACATGTTGCCGAACGCCATCCAGGAACGCATCTACCGCATCGCCGCCACCAAGGGGGACTCCACCTCTCCGCATAAACCCTCCATTAGCCACGGGGATCTGCAAAGCCTCACTAATACTCGGAAGCCCACCATCACGGAGGGCTACAGTAAGACTGGCCAAGCTTTGCATGAATTGGGGAGAACGAAGCACTTTTCGCAAAATATCTTTTTTTCTGGGAGAGGTCGAGAGACAGAAGAGCAGCTTGGGCAAGTTCCGGGTCCGTATCGGCTTCCGAAGCCTCTTCGGCATTGCCCTGGGCCAATAAAAGTAGTGCGGGCGGCAAGAAACTCAGGAGATGATCGGCAGTATTGGTATCAGCAGAATCGATAAATTGCAGTGTGGTCGAAGGTGAAAGGAGATCTTGGAGTGTCGTAGATGGTCGTTCGGGATCTTGGGATTGGCTCTGGCTCTGGCGGCCGCCCAGGGACTTCAAAAAGTCCTGGACAACCGACGCTGGATCTTCCTCGGTAGTTGCTCTGCAAAGAAGAAGGGCAAATTAGCGTGGACGGCCTAAATCAAGGTTGTCAGAGATATGTACCTACGCTCGTCCACCGTCGGCACCACCCTCTCGAGACTCTTGTCCCTCCTCACGCACGTCACCACCGGTCGCATCGGGGCCAGCACCGCCGCTGCCTGTGCTGTGGTGTCGGCCGCGATCATGGTCGGTGCCTTCCACATCCTCCATCGTCTCATCGTCATCACCCCCCGAGGACCGGCGAGGAAGGTTGGCGATCTCATGCTCTACATCGACATCCTCACCTTGCAGCAGAACATCGACAATTTCTCCCAGCTTCAGGTCACGAGGACTGAACCAGCTTGGATCGCCGTCCTCGTGCTGGGACTGGGACTGCATCCAGAACAGGTATCGCTGAGAGCTGGATGAGAACTTCAGGACAAAGATCCGGCCATTCGTAGCGTCCCTGCCGGACGGCTTGTAGGGAGTAAAGCTGCCGTCTGAGGGAATCATCACGAGGTCAAGCTCGGGTTCATCTAGTGAGGCGCTACGTGAGCGCCAGCAGAAGTGGATAAGATCATCTTCGGAGTAAAGGTAGACATAGCCTGGGGTAGGCTTTGGCTTGACGGCGGCAGGAGTACTAGAGAGCTGAATTGAAACAGTCAGTAAATATCCAATGTATATATGAGTACATCCTGAGGATTAAGTTGATCAACTATCCCAGTCAGGTCCGGAAAGCTAAGCTCACGTACATCCAGGTCACAGATACCTGCTTTGAAAGTGATGATCGGAGCTATCGACATGATGGGAATTTGATTCTGAACAGATCCAGCAACAGAAGATATTATAATCACAGAATTGGCACCCTCCCGGTAGATTAAAAAAAAAGGGTCGTGGAGGATGTAAGAGATAAGACTATAGAGAAAGAGAGAGAGGCTGCGAGCGGTATACGTCAGTTGTTTGTTTCGAGCAGTGCTTCTGCACAAGTGGTTTTGCAGTCGTCCGTATATTATTATTGCCTTACGGATCTGGCATTAATGCAATAAGTCACCGCTTGCCAAATTTGGCTAGGGCTGTCGGTTAAACACGTGATAGGGCTTCGTACACACAACCCTCAACGAATTCCCGCACTGGAGCCGACTCCGCTTAGCAGTCCAAGTCCTCACCCAAATCTCCAACAACCACCCCGACAACCATTCATCCTTCGCCAGCAGCCATCATGTCGGACGGCCAGACGAAGCAGTTCGGGAAGAGCCAGAGGGTCGTGCCCGCCGACAAGGCCCAGAAGTGGTACCCCGTGGACGATCAGTCGCAGCCCAAGAAAGTCAGTACACCCTATGAAAATGGGACGGCACAATAAGAGGAGGACATACGACTGGCACACGATCTGCCCCAATGATTGCGACGATAGCACCGGTATTCTGAGGAAGAGCCTTTGTGAATTACGGGGCGACATCCAACCAGACACCGGTGTCAATCGACGACACAAAGTTCATCAAATCTTGTGATCTTGTCCGAATCGCATATCATCCGGGGAAGATCAGGCTATGGCGATGGAGAAACCTGGGGATTCACGGGAATCGCTGGAATTTGTCTGACATCAGAGACTAACTACTTTGTGTGTTTACAGGTTCGCAAGACCCTGCGTCCCGCCAAGGTCCGCGAGACCCTCGTTCCCGGCACCATCCTGATCCTCCTCGCTGGCCGTTTCCGTGGCAAGCGTGTCATCCTCCTCAAGTCCCTCGACCAGGGTGTCCTCCTTGTCACCGGTCCTTTCAAGATCAACGGTGTCCCTCTCCGTCGCGTGAACTCCCGCTACGTTATCGCCACCTCCAAGCGTGTCGATATCTCCGGTGTTGACGCCAAGTCCGTTGAGAAGATCTCCGCTCCCGGATACTTCACCAAGGACAAGAAGGCTGAGAAGAAGACCGAGGAGGCTTTCTTCAAGCAGGGCGAGAAGGCCGAGGTACGCATCTTGTCTACGATTTCATATTTGCAGTGATCAAACGCTAATTACTATTTTTTCGTCTTTACAGAAGAAGGTTGTTGCCAGCGCTCGCGCCAGCGACCAGAAGGCCATCGACCAGGCTATCCTTGCTTCCATCAAGAAGGAGGATTTCCTCGGCAGCTACCTCGCTACCACCTTCAGCCTCCGAAACGGCGATAAGCCCCACGAGATGAAGTGGTAAATGTGCGGTAGCCGCGGGTTCGGTAGATAGTTGGGGAGGACCATTTTCCAACGAGGGGCGGCTCGATTGCAGATCGGCATCCTTTCGCGACTTTCGGGGGGCCGGTTTCATGAACCATGTCATGTAATTCCTACGGGATCCGTCAAAACACTTTTCACTTTTCTTATGATTTGCGGTTAATTCGGATATCCGGATGTCGTTCACATGTTTCAAGAAACCCGTTCCTTTTGCGTGTGGCTGATTTTGCATGAAGCTGCGTTATGAAGAAAGACTTCAAGCAAAAAAAAAGATTAAAAATCACCTCGTTCCAGCAGGCGGGCTGGATTCTCTTTTATGTTCAGTATGACCTCCCATTTCAAGGTTCAGGCGGCAATCCAAAATTGGGCAATTCCTTCGATTCATCTATGCGTCCCGAGGTCCTCTAGTATCTGTAACACACTAAAATATAAGGTTGCTGGACCTTCTCTCTAAATATTTGTAGTGGAGATCCCCATTGTGTGGAACTGGAGTCAAGATCTTGAGATCTAGGCTGAACTATGAAGTAGTATAAAACGAAGATCTTGCGGCATACCTTCGGTGCTCAGTGGATATTACACTGGCTGCTCGGTCGTATCACCGTGGTATTTTATGTAATATGGAGGCTTTGCGACAGGTTTGCTAGATCGTATCCCATACATAATGAGTCTAGTGGCAGCCACGGGTAGTAAGATATGTAGTGGCACCAACTATGAATACCCTCATGGCCACTAATTGCATAGCACTTGAATGATATTCAATTACGGTTATATCAGGTCTTTTTAAGGTTGGCATTAATATAGATTGCAATGTCATAGAGCCCGAAACTCCAACCTTGTGGAATATATATTGTAGGTCTAGATGTTATATATTAAACAACCCCAACTCTCACTCCAAAAAAACAACAACAAAAAAAGACAAATTTACATAGCTGCAGCCCCAATAATTCATATACTCGTACTCTTCAATGTTCATCTCATCGTCGCTTGTTCTTTGTTGAAGATCCAATCTGAGCCTTTCGCTTCGAAGCCTCATACGCTCTCCGCATATCCTGTTGTTCATCCTCATCACTCGAATTCCCATCGCTACTCGAGTCCCTGAGAACGGTACCAAAAATCCAATCCATAATACCCCATGGGCCAAAGTTCCCCCTTGCACCCATCAACAAATGCATATCTGTACGACGGGCGATCCCACCCAAAAATAGCTTTGTCGGCATGACAGTATATCCAGAGTATGCGAAGGTCTCCTCGAGAGAAATAAACAGTAGATACAAAAGATATGTAAGCATATGAAAACGGAAGATAATGGCCGGCGCATAGGTCGGGATGAACTTGGTAATCAGGTATGGGACCGGATGGTCATAATGCGCGGTCAGTGGGAACGGAGCAGGCAACGAATGATACCAAGATCGGTGCCATCTGGCGAGTACAGGAGACCATCTCGAGTGTAGAGCATATCGGTGAAGGACATAGGTGAGAAACTACCAAAAGGAAAACCAGAATGTTAGCAAATTGGACTATAATGAAAAGCGTACCACAATAATGTAGTCGGGGAATTCCAATAAACTTACTTCTCGCCCCAGCATTGCCACACTCAAATCTTTACATATCTCAAATGGCATAGGAAGTTTCATCGATACCTTGAGCGCACTGCGCTTGCCGAGCGTATGGACAAGTACCGTCTCAACTACCCCCTGCACAGCGATACCCAAGCATAAATTGAACAGACCCCACGCAGCGATCTTGAGTTCCCTCGCGTGGATACGACGTCGCCTCCTCCCACCTGGCAAGCCAGTAGCGCCATGCGCCTTTATGAGAATCGCGGCCGACGGGGTCAGGATATCAAAGAGGAAGAAGATAATGGACGGTAGTGCATAGAAGAGGAAGCGCACGGCAATAGTTCCGAACAGTTCCACGCGGAGTCGGGAGTGCGACAGTACCAGCGTTGACCAAGTCAGGTAGAAGAAGAGGAGGTTCAGGCTGGTGCTGTAGGATGACAGGACCGGAACTAGGAAGATGGACAGCATCGGTATTGATAAGAGAGCCTCCATCTTGACAGTTTGTGTGGTGATTGCTGTTAATGGTGTTAAAAGACTCGAGAGTGAATTTTGTTGTATCTTGTGCTATCTTTATCGCCGAGTCTGTCGGGGGAGCGAGGGGTTTTTGTCTCTGATTTCCCTAGCAACTTCTCTTTGTGCCGAGAATAGTAACCTGTGAACAGTTGCCATTCATATTTGGTACAAAGACTCTTTGAAAATTCAATCTGGGTAGAGCAATTGGAGACAAAGAGATTTCGAGGTCGAAAATGGGGTGGCAGGATAGAAGATAAGCTTGGTTATCTACATCGTACGTCATCATCCCCGGACGTACATTGCGGAACTACGACTGCATCAATGAAAGGCATCAATGAAAGGTACGAATTGCTAAAAATATGAATATTGACACGAAATTATTTTGTACTGTACAATAAGAATGTGTAACAAAGGCTAGAGCTGATTGAAGAGTGTATAGGTGTTGGGCGGGGCAACCGAAGGTGCCGTACAGACAGCGCTCAGGGTATCATCATACAGGAAGTAGTCGATAGACCATGTGAAGAAAATAATAATACACCCGATCGTTATGAAGCTGGTGTACTGGTACTGTTCGGGATCCCGTTTTTCTTTCCCCAAGCGAACGCCTTGCTGCGAAGGTCTGGAATGACCTGGAGGAATACCAGGTTGCTGAGCCAGCTGAGCATAGTATCACCGACAATGCTATTTTTCGGGCTGGGCCCAAGAGCAGTGCCTTTCATGACGGCACCAATAAAATTGGTAGTGACCAGGTACTCCCCACGCTCTAGGGCACGGACAGAGATTTGAGCGACCTCCGCTGGTGTCTGGGGCTTGTCGGCCTCTTCGAGTTTCTTGGTCAATTCAGGCTTGGTCTTTTGCTCGTTGTCATAACCGGGTGAGAGGATCCCCATGGGGAAAATGGTGTGGATTTTGACATCTGCAGCCGGGGCATCATTGCGGTGCCGTTGGGTATAGGCTCCATTGTACATTTCGATTTCCTGGCTCAGAGTATCGGATAGAGAACGAATGGCTGCCTTGGCAGGCGAGTATGGTGAATAGCCAGCGATGGGAACGAATGCAAGAGTAGAGCAGGTAAAAATGAGATGTCTCCGGGGCGTTTTCATCTGTTCACTGGGAGCAACGGGTGTAAGCCAGTTGCGCAGGGTGGCATGAGCTGTGTTGGCCGCAGTCCAATAGATTGTGTCCATTTGCTGTCGGTGATCTTGGATGGGCACATCGACGAAATATCCTGGACGGGAGAAGCCTGCGCAGCACCAAACAACATCGGGAGCAGCTCCAGAATTCCACGCTGTCACTTCTGCGATCATTCTTTCGCACTCGGCGGGATCAGTGAGATCGGCGCTGATATAATGAAACTTCTGCTTAAAGATATTCGCAGCTTTGGCCTGGATGATATGTGAGTAATGTTGATCAGCTGATCGCGGAGGGATGTCTGACCTTCATCTCATCAACTGTAGCCTGCAGCTTGGAAACAGTGCGTGCAACGACGATAACGTGTGCGCCTTTTGCGGATAGCTCGAGTGCGACAGCTTTGCCCATGCCATCGGAGCCACCGGTTATCACTACGGTCTGTAAGACTCAGTCAGCACGTATCATACTGATCACGTAGTCTTGCACATACCTGCCCCTCCACATTGAACTCGTTTCGGGACCCGAGCCCAAACATCTTAGCAATAGTGTAAATAATAATTGTGCAAAGGAGTGCTGAAGCGCCCAATATCGGGGTTGATGTATTAATATACGAGGAGTGAAATGAGGAGAGAAGTTGAGGGAGAGGGGAACGAGCAATTAACTCGCGAAGATCCATCGTGGGTGAATGGCAGTTGCCTCTGTCAGATGTCCTCGAAATGGAAGGCACAAGGGGCAGTAAATTAGTGATACGGAAATACCGAATATCGGTCTGTTTTTAACTTTCCAAGGTGGGAGACTGTAATATTACCAGTATCTGAATTCCTACAAGTGCAAACAGAGCAAATGTCCCCACTCGAGGCTAGCGCATCCAAGGCGGTGAGAGGCCAAAAAATAATTTTATCACAGTTTATCGGCCGGCCTGACTGGACTGAATTGGTTCACTGTCGTTTAATTTCTACACGCAACAATGGGCAGCAAAAAGAGAAAAGCCGGTCGCCCGGCGCAACCGAAAACAGCCCCTGAGCCCTCCAAGTTCGACATCGAAGAGCGATTTGACGACTCTGAAGATGACTTCCAAACCGGCCGTGACCAGATTCTACTTGAGGAAGGCCCCGAGGCAAAGAGACGGCGGAGAATTGCTGAGGAAGGTATGTGGTTCTAATAATGACCTCACATGATGCAACGGTGTCTTACTGATTGCCACAGAGGAATTGATCCAGCCCTCCGACGAAGAAATCCTTGGATATGAATCCGCAGATGAGGATGACGACCTCGAGGACTCAGAAGAAGAAGACGAATATGATGATTTGGGCGAGCCAAAGAAGGGTGGCGCCGATTCAGAGGAAGAAGATGAAGGCATTGCCGCCTGGGGCACATCGAAGAAGGATCTTTATAACGCAGATCAGATCGAGACCGAGGTTGATGCATTGGAGGAAGAGCAGGAGGCCAAGCGACTACAAATGAAGCAGTTGCAGGCTATGAATGAGGCCGATTTCGGGTTCGATGAGTCTGAATGGGTTGAATCCGGCAAGGGTACCGAGGATAGCGCCGATGCTGGCGTGGTGACTGAAGTGCTTCCACAACTGGAGATCACTGAGGATATGGATACCGATGAGAAGCTGAAGATTTTGAAGTCGAGATACCCCGAGTTTGAACCCCTGGCGAATGACTTTGTCAATCTTCAAAGCACCTTCAAGGATCTTCAACATGCAGCCTCGAAGGCTTCTTCAACAGACGACGACGATGACGATGAAGAGCCACAGCCATCCCCAGTGCCCGTGGTGAAATTCCGTGCGTTATCTGCATACCTTGGCACGATCAGCATGTACTTTATGCTCCTCTCCTCCCCGTCTCCCGATGCGACCAGCGAACATGTTCCAATGACCCCCGCCGAACTCCGACAACACCCTGTCATGGGATCGCTTGTCAAATTCAGGAAGCTTTGGAACACCGTCAAGGATCTCGAGGAGGAGATCGAGGAACCCACTGAGGAGCTTATCAAGGAGACTAAGACCGAGACCGCCGAGAAACAACCAAAGATCAAAGAGACCAAAAAGCCGAAACAGAAGAAGCTCAGCAAGGCCGAGATCGCACAAGCAGAGGCCGAAGCTCTCCGCGACGAGCGTCTCCGCCAAACAGAAGCCGGCCTCGTCGATCTCGAAAACCTGGCCACCAAGCCCGCACAGAAGCGCAAGACACAAAAGATCAAGGCACCTCTCAAGGATGATGACTCTGACTTCGGTGACGAGGATGCCCTCACAGCCCACGAGGCAGAGGAGAAGGCCAAGCAGAAACGCTCACTCCGTTTCTACACCTCGCAACTGGCCCAGAAGTCCAACAAGCGCAACGCAGCAGGCCGGGATGCCGGCGGAGACGCCGATCTCCCATACCGCGAACGTCTGCGTGACCGTCAAGCCCGTCTCAATGTGGAAGCCGAGAAGCGCGGCCGCAAAGAACTCAATCCCGACCAGCAGCTGGGCGGAGACAGTGACGATGAGGATCGCCGCGTCGCCAAGGAGCTCCGCCGCGGCGAGGGTGCCAAGGATGACGATGATGACGAATACTACGACATGGTGGCATCCCGCTCCAAGAAACGCAAGGACGATAAGCAGGCTCGTGCAGATGCCCACGCTGAGGCTGAGCGTCTTGGTGGAAAGGTCTATGAGCAAGAGGTGGTTGGTGCGGATGGTAAGCGTGCTATCACGTACCAGATCCAGAAGAATAAGGGTCTGCACGCGAAGCGCAGCAAGGACTCGCGTAACCCGCGTGTTAAGAAGAGAAAGAAGTACGAGGAGAAGCAGAAGAAGCTTGGCAGTACTAAGCAACTGTACAAGGGTGGTGAGGCTCGCGGTGGATACGCTGGTGAGCTTACGGGTATCAAAAAGAACCTGGTCAAGAGTGTCAAACTGTGAATGTGTGCTTGATCATAAACTTCACGGTCTTGTGTGTATGTTTTCATGGCGTTCACTGCGGGCAGTTTCAGGCATTCGATGTGTATATAACCCCGATGTCATCTTTTGGTTAACCTCAAGTTTCAAAAACCGTTTTATTCATCTCAGTCCACCTTCTAGTATGTTTATAATAGTTGGCCGCTTTATGCGTCCTTGTTATGTCTTTGTTAGTAGCAGGAGTAGCCATTTTGCAGACCAATGGGGTACCAAAGACTATCTTGGACAATAATTTAGGGATGACTCGGATATAGTTCTCTCTTAACAATGTGATATTGCACAGTCTTGAAAGCCTCGGTCTATATCCTAAAAATGGGAGTTATTTGAACCCACCCTGAGTGCAATGTCACCATAAACAGACCTCGGGAGGTACGGCGCTATAGTTCAGCACGCGAAATCCCTTGGAATCTTCCTCTCTTCGTCTATTCAAGACTATCGGCATACATGAGCGCTCTCAGTGGTGGGCCACCTGGCCCGGGGTCAATTACTCCATGCATAACATTTGATCATGCGCTTGGAGCAACAGGGATTCCAACTACTATAATCCCTAATTAGGCTCTTATATCCGATCTAGACATAGATGGTCAGCCCCGGACATTCATGTAAAAGATAGAACAATGTTGAGCAAAACATACCCTTCAGCCTTTTGTCAGTTCGAATAGGAAACAAGGGTAATCCTTCTGCAAATTGAGGACGATGAGGAACCTCGATAGATTGTGGTTTTTTACTTCTAGTGCTCGAGCTACACACCAAATCAGCAGAGGTTAAGTGAGTGTGACATATATGTAAAGTGTAGGTACCTTGGCTTGGGAGAACTGGGCGAAGCCGGCGCATGATCCTGAGAATGTCGATTTGGCTTCGGCATGATATTGCGAGATGCCCGTCTAAGCTTTTCTGAAAGCCGGTCTGATCCATTCCTGGTGCTTGTGCTCGGACTTCTCGAAGTCGGACTCCCTGGCACAGGGGTTACGTATGAGAGGTCGGAGATTGGGATTGGAGCTGCGTCGGATCTTCGACGGTTATATGAGGATAGGTCAACAGAAGGAAGCTTTTCTGGGATTTGAGTATGAGAAGTATGGAGGGCAGGTTCACTGGATTGAGAGTCGCTAGATGGGGAGAGGGCGATTGAATGGGTGTCTGTGGGTGGATGGCCGTTGGGGGTTTGAAGGGAGTTTGTCATAACATTTGTTGTTGGCGTCAGTTTTGTATTATTCAAGGTATCTACGAGCTGCTTGTATGTGTCGCCGTCGATACCCAGACTGGTTCGCATTTGCTGTGCGCTCTCTGTTCTGAAAGTATGTTTCCTCGTGGCATCGAGTGTCAAGTCAATCTCGCCTGAGAGCAGAACATCTTGGGTGGCGGATGATGTTTGTGGTTTTAAAGTAGCCACAACGGTGTCTTTGGTAGCTGGAACAGTTTTGTTTGGGTTTTCGGGCTGTGAGTCGTCCTGCAGCATTGGTATCAGCCAGGCATGGTCCAAGGCATCTCTGGCAGTAGGGCGATCTGCCGGGTTTGCAGCCATCATGCGCGCCAAAAAGGACGTGGCCTCCGGGCTAACTGGAGAATGAGATGAGTCAAAAGGTAAGATGGAATTCCCTCTGTAGTATTCGAGCATATCACTTTTGCCAGAGAAAGGAAACTTCCCAGTGAGCAGATAGTAAGTGATCACGCCCAGACCCCATATATCAATTTTCGGGCAATAGTCTGGTCCTAACGTTGCGCTTTCTGAGGATGGACCCCATAACTGCTTATACACCTCTGGCGCAGTAAAGGCCGGCATGCTATTGAACGTTTGTATACCCGTAAATCCTTCCATCACGCGCTTGCTGAGCCCAAAGTCGCCGATCTTTACCCACCAATTTGGGCCTGTAGATAACACGAAAATATTCTTCCCGGGATTAGGAAAAGTAGAAGTAAAAGTAAACGTATGGCCGGAGCATACCTGAGGTTTTAGGTCACCGTGGGTGAACCCGTTGCCATGCATAAAGTCCAGACTTTCGAGAAGTTGGAAGGTAATCTGCTGTGCTTCTCTTTCCCGAAAAAGCTGTGTCATATACTTCTGCAGATCCCCAAGAGAGAAATACTCCATCGCGATAAACAGACATTCAGTGTTCTCAAACCAGCCCGAGGATTTCACAAAGCAGCCGTCATACTAACCGTGGATGTAGGTCAGTGATTTTGACAGGGGTTTATTGGGAATTCGGGATACCAATACCAGTCATGTACCTACCTTTTGCTGCGAGAAACGAGCGATAGCTTCTAGCTCGCGATTATAATCCATAGACCTCGATCCTGGGACCAACTTGCGCACTTCCTTAACAGCCCGGAGCTTGCCTTCACTGACACATTCTTCCAACCATATAGTACCGAATATGCCAATGCCAAGGTCACGTTTCCTCTTCCAGACTTCCTCCCGCTCGCGACGTCTTCCGCGCCGGCCAGCGACTAACGTTGATTCGAGAAAAGTGTGCGTTGTAAGGTCTGCATCGAGCTTGGTGGGGAGCTTCGAGTCTTTGACAAGATCGGAGACTTGTGACATGCGGGGCATAGGACACCGGAATTTGAGGGTCAATAATATTGTGGATCTTTCCTATGATGTAAAGCAGACAGTGGTCACCTAAAGAACGCGAACGATGTTTGAGATGCTTGACTTGGTGCGTATGGTCGCATTGGGGATGCATGAGATACTGTCAGCATGCAAGTCAGGAGCCTCGTTCGAAACGGTACAAGTAACATGACAAGGGTCAAAGTCGGGGTAAATTCATTATTGTTTTGGCCCCCGGTGGCTACGAATGCAGAGGTGGGCAGTGGCTTCATTCTCCTAATGGGATAGATCGACATCGGTTCGGGCAATTGATGACATAGGGCGTGAATGTATGTTATACTCTGTAAGGAGATTTGGGATATCATTGGCCTCCAGACGTTTGGTCATAATAAATCCTTTCCTTCGAACAAGCCTTCGAAGACTGCCTTGACATGGTCTGAGCCACCCTGTGAGAAATCGACCCCCAGAAAACCTCTCGCTAGGGAGTTCTTGTAGTAACCCTGTTAGTCTCATTCTTTTTTTCTTTTCTTCTTTTCACGAAAATGAACTCGTACCGCTTCTTCTAGGTCTTGCATTTCCCCTGGAGATAGAACCGCACAGGCTGCGACAATGTTCTCCCCTCGCGCCGAAAGAGACGCAATCTCGTTTGCGCGAGATATGATAGCTGGGTCGATACCGTTGATTGCCGCACAACTGTACCGCAAGTCAATCAAGGTTTAGCAAAAAGGAATGCAGGTACGAAAAGCTGCAAGACGTACATAGTACCGAAGCTCTTGTTACTTCGTCCCGGACGAAAGCTGGTCGAACTGTAAGCATCATTCACGTACCATTAACTCAGGAGCCACTATTCTTGCGCATACTTATAAAGATACGTGATCTGGTCCTCGAATTCCTGGCTTTTTTCGCAGACTTGAACTTCCATATGGCCAAGATGGAGTCGAGGCCGCAAAGCGAGGAAGTTGTTCTCGAAAATCTCATGGAAATGAGTTGCTGTAATGACCTTAGCGGGTCTCTCGAGGTACAGCAGATAATCGAGTATGCCACAGGCAAGTCCGATGCCATCTGAATGCGTTAATTAGTTTGCATCAAGATCTATAGCTGGATATGACCATACCGCTTTCGTTGGTTCCCTTCCCAAACTCATCGATGATGACCAGGCTTCGATGTGTGACTTGTTTCAAGCAGAGCGAAATCTGTTGCAAGTCGTTCATGAATGTACTTTGGATCTAAAGACATGTTAAGCTACCAAATCCGAGGCATTATGCAGAGGATTTGAGATACCTTGGAGACACTCTCTCGGGTATTGATTTTAGTCAAGATTTTATCTGTGACTCCCAATTCCGCGCTGTCTGCAGGGACAAAGCTGTGACAGTCAGCCTTTACATGATCACCTTAAAGAAAAGAAACACACCTCCCAATCTGCGCTAGATAAATAATCAGAGCAACCTGGATCTAGGTCAGAAAATGAGCTTCACGAAGATAAGATACAGCTTACCTGTTTTATGTAGACACTTTTTCCTGAGTAGTTCGGTCCAGTTAAGATCAACATGCTGGGATTTTGATCCATGGAAGCAGCATCATTTGTCTCAGACTCGCTTCCACCCACAAGCAATGTGTCGTTTGGCACATAGGACGAAACAGTTAATTCTTGAAGAATATGCCTGCTATTTGTCAGGGATATCGATAGATGACTGTCAATGAGCTCTTACCGGCCACCCTTGATTTTGATCACATTTTGTTCCACCATTCGTGGCCTAGTCAGCTTATAGAAGCTGGCTGCCTGTGTGAGAGCAAGAAGACTGTGGACTTTGTATCAGCAGACCTCGCATCAGGTCCCACAAGAACTAACCTATCAATATCTCCACAAATATCAGAGGCATCGACGAGCACATTCTCATATCGGAGAACCCTCTGCGCTAAATCGTATACAATTTCGATTTCTTTCTCTGTCAAGGTACACTGTTTAGTGCTCAATATCCACGACTTCCGATTAATTAGCCAGCTTACCGCAGATAATACCGTATACATCCCCCAGCTTCTCATCCATCTCTCTCATGCGGAAGTCTTTGAAATACGCCCGATTTTCCGTGATGAACATCAGTCTCCAGTCATCATCAGAGCCAGTATATACCGCGGCGCCATGATTATTGAGTGGAATGGCAATATTGAACCCAAGCTGAGGGAAGTAGATAACATTGACGTCGACTTCGAGAGTCGTCGGGATTGTTCCGGTAATGTCGAGGGCAACGTGCTTGAGAAGGCTGTTGAGACCATCGTATCCGTCTTTGATTTTGTCAAGCTCTCTATCAATACCTTGTTTGACTACTGTTCTTCCTTGTTCTTCGGAGTTATCAATGTCAACCTAAAAAGTCAGACTTGTTATCAATTCCTCCTGAAAAAGAACTTACGATTTCTTGAACCATACGACCAACTCTGTACAGCTGTGCTGCCTCAAAGACTCTGATAGCCTGTAAGATGTCAGTACACGAAGGGCTGGGTTCTATTGCGTATTGACCTTGGTTCGGAGTGTCAGGATGTGCGCGCCCGATACCTCCCGCAGTGCATCATTGATGTCGATAGAGTGGAACGCAAACTGGTCAGTCGGCTCATTAGCAATGCACTAAGTATCATTCTAACATAGACGGAAGATAGAAAACCAAACACACAGCAAGAAGGCTGGCCCAAACCGTAGTTTTGAACCCAGTAATCTTAGCACTGCCAGTACTAATTCCCTTGCGAAGATTGACCATGACAGGCCTGATATTTTTTACGTGCTTCAATGCTTTGGTCATCTTTTCCAATGCAGCAAGATTGTCAGGTCGAGAAAAGACTCCTACAAAATCGTGCCGTTCACGAATCGTATCCAGATCCACGCTGGGACGGGAAAAGGTTTGCTTGAGCCTTACCCTACCTTGAGGGGTGTACGCAAAGTGCTGGAAGAGCCCATAGACTGAAAGACTCTCTTTGCCTGAGGCTGACTTTTTTCCCGGGCCCTGGTTGAACATATTCGGGTGTGACTCCGACTGGATAATCTGGAGAGACGTGAGAGTGTTGCTGTTGATCCACATCGTATCCCTAAGATTAAACATCTGCAGTGCTCGAATCCGATACTCATTTCCGTCTTCGAGGGGGCTAGGCGCCGTAGTTCTTCTTCGTTGCAGGTAGGTGAGTACGGCTCCTGCGCATCCAATAGTCACGGGGTTCTCCATGTCGATGGAGCTTGAGATGTGCAACAGTCTTCCTTCTTGGAGTGTGAAGCCCATCTCTTCTGGGTCCACTTCTTCCGGTCCGGCAAGGCCATTTTGAGGCACGAAAAACCGGATGTGCTGTTCGTGCGTAGATGAAATTTCCAAAGCAAGGAATTTGCTTTCTGCGTTGGAGTAGCTGAACTCCGGCGTTGGACGAACGTCTATCTGGTAAGGAAGGTAGGCAGAAGAAACTGGGCAGATATTATCAGCATTTACTTGCACTGGAGAGGGTCAACGAGCTCTAGGGCAAACTAGATGTACCATCTTCTTGTGTGAGGCTTTGATCCTGATTCTGCGAGCTAAGATCGACCCGAGGAGGTGTCAAGACCACCGTAGGTTTAATTTGGAGAAGCACTGGAGATGGCCCAATTAGCGCTTCAAATCTAGACCTAAGCAAATGATAAACCCACGAGCTTCGATTGTCTCTATATCCCCTGAGCGACTGTCACCGAGCAGATACATCTTTTCTTCTTCGGCTGAGTAATATGAGCACCCCACAGTTCCATGGTCCTTCATGTCGATGGCAGCAATGACATGGTCAAAGTCATCATCAGTAACCCTCACCGAGCGATCTGTTTCGATCTTGGTGTCTGTGGGAAACGGAGTTCGCAATTGGCTTGCTGATGGAAATATAGGAGTTTGAGGAGGACCACTTGAAATGCTGAGGGCTTGAATTGATGGCGCCTTGTGGCCCAGTCGTCGACCAGAGGTACGAGGTGTGATTGGAGGGCGAGAAGCTGGTGCTCTTTTTCGTTTTAAAGAAGGCATCTTGCTGAGGCCAATGAAATCGGGATACCTAAAGGTGTGACGAGGGAGAGAAATGATGGGGTAGGATGAAATGGTGTCTGTCCATTGTATGGGCAGTGGGCCTAGTCACCTGTCCACGGGTCGTTTAAACAAGCAACTTGATCATGAGTAGAACTGGATTATTATACAATAAGTGAGGGGACTAGTATACAAAGTCATAAAATGTACAGACAAAATCTGACATACAAACCAAAAATTCCCAAAGGAGGCGCAAAACACCGTATATACCACATAAGAACGCCATATTTCATGTTTCGTTTACTCTTGCGCGTTTAACACCAGGCCAGACTTAGCTTCATCAAGAGAAACTTGGATGCTTTGACCAGAGACAACTTCACCTCGGATGATCTTATCAGCCAAGCGGTTTCCAATCTCCTTGGCAATGAGACGGTTCAAAGGCCGGGCACCAAATCTCGGGTCGTAGCCTCTCTCGCACAGCCAGTCCTTGGTTTCATCGTCAACCCGCAGGGTCATACGGCGGTCCTCAAGTCTGGCCTGAAGCTCTCGGAGTCTGATGTCAACGATGTCCCGTAGGGCATCCTTTGACAGGCGTTTAAAGATGATGAATTCATCAATTCGGTTCATGAACTCGGGTGGGTATGCGCTCTGAACCACATCCATAACAGCCGTTTTGATCTTTTCTGGGACCTCGGCATTATCGGAGTCTATAATTGGGTACAGAGGGTCCGCTCCGACCAGGATACTAGCTCCAAGGTTCGAGGTCAACACAATTAGGGTGTTTCGGAAATCGACTTTGTGGCCTTGGGCATCTGTCAGGAAGCCCTCATCGAGGACTTGTAGCAGTAGCGCTGAGATATCACGATGCGCCTTCTCGAATTCATCAAATAACAGAACAGCGTAAGGCTTCCGTCTAACAGCCTCGGTGAGCTGGCCAGCATCATCATACCCGACATACCCGGCAGGGGAACCAATGAGTCG